CCTGAGGGGGAGGTGCCATTATTATACCTATTTTAAGATGAGGACACTGAGGCAGACAGGGCCATGTGCCCAAAGTCACACAACTAGCAAATGTTTGAGGTGTATTTGAACTCAACCCTTCTTGACTCTGTGTCCGTTGTTCTTTCTACTATACCGTCGATGTTAGGGGAGTATTCAATAATTCAAAGTGGTGAGAAAAATTGCCTTTGTTTTTTACCATTCTAAAGTGTTACTCTGTTTGAATTAAGAAAAATACATTATTGTATGTGTCACATTGTTAATTTCAAGGAGAAAAGCTAAAACTCACCATTGGAATAGCTAAAAATTCTGGTTTATCTCTGTGTGGATATAGCCTTAACTTCTGCTTTTGAATATGTGTTGGTACTATAATCTTGTAATCTTGGACTTAGCCACTGATTAGTGATTATAGTGATTATACACCTTTGATTCAGATTCTAGATTAGCTGTTCTCTTCTATTCATCTATTTTTTCAGCAACAAATTATTTTGATAATGACCTACTTTATAATATAATTTGAAATAAACCTAGCAATGCATGTCTCCTTTCCTCATTTCTCCCCCATAATTTCCCTCCAATAGTCTTGTCTACTTATTCTTTCTTTTTTTAAAATTTTATTTATTTTATTTTTAATTTATGAAATAAAATAAACATTTCCATAACATAGAATAGAAAAGGAGGATTATATGTACAACTGCAAATCTATTATGTATAACTTGCTATTCCTTTTAAGTTTATAATAAAGTTATCTTGAAAATTTCTTTTTTTTTCCTTTTTTTCTTACTTCTCCTCCCCCAGAGATGGCTACCATTAGACAGAAATATGTGTACGTGTGTGTGTGTGTATATATATGTATATTATATATATATATATGTAAACTCATTCTAAATATACTTTTATTTATCAGTTCTTTCTCTGGATACACATAGTGTCTTCCTTCATAGGTCCTTTGTAGTTAATTTGGGTATTTATAACAGTAAATCACTCAGAGTTGTACTTAAAGCAATATCACTGTTACTGTATACAGTGTTTTCTTGGTTTTGCTCATTTTGCTCTCTATGAAGTTCTCCTATGGTATGCTATTAATATTGCATCAAATTATAAGTTAATTTGGGTTATATCAACATTTTACTATACTGTCTCAGTCCAGTATGGGATATTTCTTTAATTATTTAATTCATTATTTCTGTTAAAATTGTTTTTATAGTTATCTCCTATAGTTCCTATGATATGCTTAAGTACTCAATATATTTCATTAGTAATTATAAGTTGTATTTATCTTTCTATTAATCCTGGTTTCTTTTGGTAATATATAGTATGATAGTGATGGGGGAGGGTGTTATATTTTACATCCTGGTATCTTTCAAAAGTCTTGATTAACTTCCTTGTTGAATCTCTAGAGATTTTCTAATTATACCATTCTATCTTTACCAAATAGAGATAACTTCTTTGATAATGCTTATTCTTTTCATTTCTTTTTTTCTTGCCTTATAGCTATAGCTAACATTCTTAAAACTATGTAGGATAATAATGGTGTCAGTGAACACTTTCTGTCTTTTTGGTGCATATGTTTCTAATTTTCCATTGCATATGATACTAGCTAGGTCTTTATTTCAGATAGAGGGAGGATATCCATTATTCTAGTCCTTGTAGATGCAGGCTTCCTTTTGTTTTAGAGTAGATCTATAATTGTGTTTGGTGCCTGGTACAGAAGAGGTGCTCAGTAAGTATTCATTGACTGACTGAGCAGTATAAGGAACTCTTAGTGAGGAAGTTCCCTCTTCTCATATCTATCAACAGCTCTCCCACAGTTCAGTTTTAAAGCATTGCCTCTAAGGCACTGGGAAGGTGACTTGCCTACAAGAGTCACATAATCCAGTATATTTAAGAGGCAGTTCTTGAACCTTTCTTTCTCTGACTCTGAGGCAAGCTTTTCATCAGTGGATTTCATCCTACCACCTCTCTACAAAGTGGCAAAGACAAAAGCAAGGATCAGTATAAAACAAAAATATTCCTAATAAAGTTACCACTTAAAAATGAGCCCCGTTCCAACATCCCTTCCTGATTAACACCATGATCCATTCTGCCATTATTTTTGGTTATTTCTTGCTGGTTGTTAGTCTGTGGGAAAACGTTGATGAAACTCTCAAATATTTCTGTTTCAATGACCCTCTCAGTAATTTCTTTTTCAGTCATGTCTGATTCTTTATGACCCCATTTGGGGTCAGTTGAGATACTGGAGTAGTTTGCCATTTCCATCTCCAGCTCATTTTACAGATGATGAAACTGAGGCAAACAGGGTGAAGTGATTTGCCCAGGGTCACACAGCTAGTTAGTGTCTGAGGCCAGATTTGAACTCGGGAAGCTGAGTCTTCCTGACTCCAAGCCCAGCACTCTATCCACTGTGCCACCTCGCCACTGAACCCTCTCTATAATTGTGCTTTTAAGGTGTAACCTAAAGTGAATATCTGTTCACACATGCTTTGCTCATTGTAAGAGTAGAAACTTGCAATTTAATGTATTTTATTAAGTAAGATGAAATGAAGTTTCCTAAGTTTTAGTTTTTCGTGACTTAGTCTCAGTAAAACCCTTTGTTCACTATTTACTCAAAAATCTTGGTCCAGGTTTTAAATAGATTCACTTTAATTGACCTTTTTCTGGTAGCAGTCATCCTTAGAAAAGGCAGATTTCCTGTAAATACAGAAGGTATTTTTAATTACATTAAGAAAAAAATCTTTCTATTCCTATAAATACTGTTTCCAATATAAATGTACACTTATATTCTTATTAAAATATATCAAACGGGGGCAGCTAGGTGGCACAGTGGATAGATCACCCGCCCTGGTCTCAGGAGAACCTGAGTTCAAATCTGCTTCAGACACAAAACCCTCACTAGCTGTGTGACCCTGGGCAAGTCACTTAACCCCATTGCCTAGTCAAAAAAGCAAACAAACAAAAAATAAAGTATATCAAATGATACAGTCATGTGACTTAAGAGTTTTTCTTATTGATAGGATTACTAATAGAACAGCACAATCCTTGAATTCATAGTATAAATAGATGAAGTGATCATTGATCACAATGAATGTATTTTAAAGTCAAAACCTCTTTTTAAACCAGAAACAACAATACCACCTAACAGCATTTGTTTGAGGATCAAATAAATAGTGTGTAAAACATTTTATAAATTTTAAAGCACTATATTAAAGTGAGCTATTGTTGAAACTTTCAGTTTTATTGGCATAGACCAGGGCACTTTAATCTCTTGCTTCATTTTGCTCAGTTCCTTTTTTCAGTTTTGATTTTTTTGTTCTCCATTTTGCTGATTAAATTTGTGAGTTGTCCATTTTATCGATCTTTTCAAAAAGATTTTTGTATAGCAGTGCAGTTATACTTTTGTTCTGTCTTGTTGATTTCTGTTATTTTAACAGTTTCCTTCTTACTTGCTTTTGGCATAATGATTTGTTCATTTTAATTTACCTTCAAGAAGCAAAGTCTCTTTTACTGCAAACTCATTGTCAAGATAATAACTTTCATTTTTACTAGCATCTATATTTTTTCACATTAACCAAATTTTTCTTGAAACACAGAAATATGAAACCAGGGTGGGAGACAAAGGGACTCAGCTCTCCGGGGGTCAGAAACAGCGCATTGCTATTGCTCGAGCCCTCATCAGAAACCCTCAGATCCTGCTGTTGGATGAAGCCACTTCAGCCCTGGATACAGAAAGTGAAAAGGTCTGGGCTTATTGTATTCCAGCTTTGAAAGAGCTCACTTTCTTTTACTAGGAATACTTAGTATATTCACAATCATAGAGGTTGGAATGGTAGCATAAAGGAAACAGAAAGGAGCATGCATTTATTAAAGACCTACTAAATGCCAAGAATCATGCTAGGCATTTTGCTCTTTTCATCCTAACAATAATACTGGGAGTTAGGTGCTATTCCTAACCCCATTTTACAATTGAAGGAACTAAGGTTGACAAGAGGGCTAAGTGACTTTCTCATGACCACCCAGTAAGTGTCTGGATTTGAACTCAGGTTTTCCTGACTCCAGACCCACTGCATCTCTTAGCTGCTTATAAAAGTTTGGTCTTGGAATCAGAAAGACTTCCTGCCTACAGCACATACTGTGCCTACAATAACCCTTTGCCAGTTACTTAAGGACTCAGTGCCCCATCCAACCCCTCTAAGACTATACAAGTGGGTGTTCCCGTTAGCGGGAATTATTAATCTCTCTGAAGTGGTCGTGTTATTCAAATTTGAAGGACATATTTCCACCGGGCTAGAACCTATGACCCTATTCCTATATAATCATGATTTTGAATAGTGTGAATTTGAATATATGTGACCACTTTGGGAAGATTCCTTATCCCAACTAGTGGGGACCTAGATATGAGTTACAGATGTGTTCCTGTTCTGCATTGATGAGGGAAGTGTTTACACCTGTGCCAGGAGTTCCCTCCACTGGTGGTATCAAAGGAATCTTCATGCCATTTAAAATGATCATTCAGTGGAACCAGGAAAATCAGAGGTTGAGAATCCACAGTACTGGTAACTAAATCCTTTTCTCCTTATGCAGCACACCTAATACCATTGCTTTAAGAATTGCCTGATTTCTTCATGTCCTGTTTTCAATTGTCATAGTCCACACAGGACCTAAAACTGAATACAGAGAGAGTGAGACAGTCACAAAACCTGACTTCTGTCTATTTAGGACTTAGAATAGAACAATCACTTTTGTTGTTTGCTGTTGTTTTGTTATTGTTTTGTGTGGGAGGGAAATCAAGTATCCACAAATCTCTTGAGCTGTGTCCGGAGATTTGCAAATAGCAAAGGATTATTCCAGTCTTTTCAGAGAAGACTAGCTAAGTTAGGCCAAAAGGCTTCCAAGGGCCTTGGTTTATATATATGCTAACACAACATGGTAGCACATGCAAAAAACAGATATTCTAGTAAATGTTTTTAATAGTGAGATGGGCTTAGTAAGAGTGAGAGACAAGTATTAATATGTGTGCTATGATTGCATATATATAACCTATATCAAATTGCTTATCGTCTCAGGGAGGGGAAAGAGGACAGAGGGAGGGTGAGGATTTGGAATTCAAAATTGAAAAAAAAATGTTAATTCTTTTGACATGCAATTGGGAAAAATAAAATATTCTTTAAAAACAAACAAACAAAAAAGGTATGCTAGTTGTAAAATGATCTCTTTGCCCACCCAGTTCTTAGCTTTGCAAAACCTGCCTTCTATCTCACTGACATAAAACCATGAGCAAAACACATTTTTTAGGGAAATGAAATGGAAAGAATATTGAAAGAGAAGGAATTTAAAAGTTAGTATTGATTTTTCTCTTACAAATAACCATGTGTGTAATTACTTCATAGGTTGTCCAAGAAGCCCTGGACAAGGCGAGAGAAGGTCGTACCTGTATTGTGATTGCTCACCGCCTCTCCACCATCCAGAATGCCGACCTCATTGTCGTATTCCAGAATGGCCAGGTCAAAGAACGAGGGACACACCAACAGCTGCTAGCCCAGAAAGGCATCTACTTTTCACTGGTCAGCGTTCAGAGTGGGGCAAAGCGCATGTGAACTCCTTTCACTCCATGCATTTCATAAGTTAAATATTTCCTATATTTGTGTTTTAAAATGGAATCATAGCCATAAACTTCTGCCATAAGTGCCAGAAAGCAAGTCCTGTAGGCTGTCTTATCTCCTGCTGCAACTGGATCTCTGGATATTCAATGTCTCCAGAAGAGAAGAAACAGCACTTAAGGAAGATAAACCAATGTCTCATGCATTATGAAACTTAGGGGAGTATTGAGGCTAGCTAGTTTTTTTTTAATAACTGTCTAAGCAATTTTATTTTTATTTCTAGTCTCCTTCAGAAAGTAACTGACTTTCCTTGCTTAAAAAAAAAAGATGCTGTGACCAAAGGGTGGGAACTCCTGAAATAACTGTTTTATAAAATATAAGAGCCTATAATAAAAACAGAACATTTCTTGTACTAGTATAACATTGTTCAAACCTAAACCGAGTATACCACTTCCCAATCAAAATACTCTAGACTGCGAAGTAGTTGGTTCAAAATAAGAGAACCCTACTCTGCCTTTTTCCTCTTAATGAGTCCTATGGAGCTGCACAACCTTGTTCACTTTTGTACTTAATCCTGTCATTTGTTACTTTTCAACTTCTGTTATTATGGCCAAGTAAGTGACAATAGGAAACAAAGCAAGATTAATTCATTTGTTTGGGGCCAGGAGAGAAATGCTGAATCATGGGATTGAATCTTCCTTTGGTGTATTGTTAATATTTTGCACTGTTGTTGCAATGTGTTGTTAAAGAACTCTATTATTTTTGCACTTTGAAAAATATAAAACTGCGTTATTGATTTCATTTCAATACTTACTTCCCTTCCGTAGAATTAATTTCCTGCAATGTCAACCCAAATCCACTATGTAGAAAAGTTCAGATTCTTTGAATTCAGATGTGTTAGATTACAAGATCCCCTCTCTCAAATTATGGTATTGTTAACCAGAAATCAGAGGGTAACAATATGCAGGAAAAAAATAGTTAATCTAGGACCTTCTTTTAATTAATGTTCCCTCAAGCATAATGTGATTCCCAGGTTCTATTGAGAACAACCCTGACCCAAATGAAAACTCTTCTTCTGTGATGCTGGTAAGCCTCAAGATTATTAATTATGCTATCCACCAGGGAGTGCTAGTAATATTTTGAAATGTGACCAATTAATGACTAAAGACTTCTGTATATGAGAATAATTTTAAGGGGAAAAAATACAGCATTAAGATAATGGTCTACCGAAATTCTTTCACACAAACATGGGTGTTTGTATGACAACAGAGGGTGCCACGTGAAATATTTTAAGAGGTGTTGATAAAACATCATAGGTGTTGTCTGTGCCATGACTACCGCATGTCAACCATTCTAGCAATAGTAAGACCAAGATGACAGTGACATAGATCAGTTTTGTGAAAGCATGGCAAAACCCAGGAACAGTAGATGGGAGGGAGACACCGTGGTTTCCTCACATCCTGTCCCTCCCCCTTGTGGGTGAACTTACAGGGTTGGACCAGATGGTCTTTCATACTTAAGAGGGTTGATGCCCCAAGGGTCAGGGAGCCAAAGACGGGAGATATCTATTTTTAACATCTATATCTCTTGGGTAATCCTCTTAAATAATGAGTCATCAGCACTGGTTCACTTAACTGTTTTGTTGGTAACTGGTAACTTGACTGCTTAGTCTATCTATATTGAATACCTATTGTGTTTATAACTAGCTTCTCAGCATTGTGGTAGGCTCTGTGGTAGATAGGAAAAAAGTATGAGAGCTGGTCCTTCCCAAGACACAATCTAGTTGAAAAGACAATTAATATGTATAAAATAGCCCTGAACATAGAAGAAATTCTTAAATAGACACTGCTATCAAGTCCTAAATGTGTAACATATAAAGATTTTGTAGGAAAAGCACTTAATTTGCAGTCTGAAGACCTGAGTTCATATCACAGCTCATACTATTTATTAGCTACATGACCTCTGAGTCTCAGGTTTCTCACCTGTAAAATGAAATGTTTGAGGAAAAAATTCTCTAAGATTACTTGGAGCTCTGTAAGGAAATATAAATATTTAAAATATGAATAATGGCTATCCATGTTGAAAGGAATTGTAGAGGAAGGGACCAATATAAAAAGGAGACAGGACCGAGGGACTGGATATGAATGAGAAAAGAAAATAAGTCAAAGATGATTTTGAAATTTTGAGAATGATGTGTCTGACAGTGAAGCTGGGAGGGAAGCTAGCTTTGAAGGATGATAAGCTTAGTTTGATAGAGCAAGCAAGATATGCAAGTGGAAACTGAATTGAACATTTACAGATAAGAGACTGAAGTTCTGGGTACCCACTAGGTAAGGAAATCATTGCTACAAAGTGTAGTTGTAAAGTCTATTTATTTCTCACTCTAGGTTTTCCTCTTGCCTACTTCTTGCAAAGTCAAAATTTCCTATTTCTGCCCAGCTTCTAATCCGAGTCTACCTGCCTACCTTTCTAAATAGTCTTAGACCTTCAAGAAAAGAGGCTCCTTTTTTGGTCTCCTGGGGATAACGCCCATTTAAAAGAATGTGTATTACTCCTTTCTGCCAACCAAGCTAGAGATGTTTCTGTGATTCCTACTCAAGTCCAGTAGTTTTATGGATTTCTTGGCATATTCTTTCATCCTCTCTGGTTGCTTACATTTCTCCCTTCCCTAGATGCCTAGATGCCAAGCTTGGATTCCATTTTGCATCTTCCAAGTAATCTGAAGCTTTCACAAATTAGTATTTATACAATCCTGTCTTTTATATAGGCTCTATCTAAAATGACTCATTTCCAGTTTACATATATGTGGGTAATGGGAGTGCATTCATAATCTAAATTAACCTCAACTAGTCTTCCCTTGGTGACTACACATGGAGCACTGTTTAAAACACCACACAGAACACACGGGGGGGGGGGGGGGGGAAGTAAGGAGAAGAAATCTACTAGTAGCTTTACTTTTTTTTTTCTCTGTAGAAGCTTTTATCTTTTCTAGGCAAATGCTACTGGATATCAGAGGAGAGAAGATCTTTTAGACCAAGAGAACCAATTTTTTAAATTAATTTATTTTGATTTATCAACAATCACTTTCATAAGCTTTTGAGTTTTAAATTTTTCTCCCCTTCCCTCCCCACCTCCCTCCCCAAGATGCCGTGCAATCTGATATAGGCTATACATATACATTCCTATTAAACGTTTTTTCACATTAGTCATGTTGTAAGGAAGAATTAGAACCAATAGGAGGAACCACCAGAAAGAGGAAACAAAACACAGCAGAAGAAAAAAGATAGCCAATAGTATGCTTTGATCTGCATTCAGACTCCATAATTCTTTCTTTGGATGTGGATAGCATTTTCCATCATGAGGCTTTTGGAGATGTCTTAGATCCTTGTATTGCTGAGAAGGGTTAAGTCTATCAGTATTAATCGTCTCACAACGTGGCTGTTACTGTGTACAACGTTCTCCTGATTCTGCTAACTTCACTCAGCATCAGACCATACAAGTCTTTCCAGGTTTTTCTGAAGTCAGCCTGCTCATCATTTCTTATAGGGCAATGATATTCCATTACATTCACATATCACAACTTGTTCAGGCATTCTCCAATTGATAGGCATCCTCTCAATTTCCAATTCTTTGTCACCACAAAAAGAGCTATAATAAATATCTTTGTACATGTGGGTCCCATTTGTATGATCTCTTTGGGATACAGCCCTAGTAGGAGCTTTTCTTTCACAGTATAAATTATGTTCAGTCTTTTAAAAGAAATCTAGGTAGAACATTATTTAATTTTGCCTAAAAGAAATTATTTTCTTTAATTAATAATTAAAACCAGATGTCCAAATTTATTTGGAGATGGAAAAAACCATTTCTTCCATTTATAGCCCTTTGCCCCAATTTTGCTGCCAAGTACTAGAAGTCCAGGTATTCCCTTTGAACATTTAACACTGAGGTCAACAAACTCTGCCCTTTGAGCATAGAAACCTCAGCATTGCAGAGCAAGAGAACGGAAATTAAAGCAGATGAGTTTTACTTTTCATTTTTTGCTGATGTAAAGGACTCTCTTATCCTAAGGCACGTTTGAAGAGATACCGCGCTGGCCACAGAACAAAGTATGTTTGTGATCTGATTAAAAAGTGACTGACAGGCAAATATTGGGAGAATGTCAAGTCCAAAAATGACAGAGTAATTAATCACATTTTCTATTTCATTTGCAAAGTTTTTATTATTCTTATAATGATGATTCCTTTCAATGTAATGTGTCATTCAATTCAGCAGCCATTTAATTGATTATTTAATCAATTAAATCTGTTTGCAAGGTGAGGTGCCTAGAGTGCTAGAAATCAGAAAAACTTAGATTCAAACCCTGCCTCTGGCACCTGCTAACTGTAACCCGAGGCTCATCACTTAACCCCATAGCACCCCAAGCCATTCACTAAACTAAAGTGCAGAAGTGTTTCAAGTCTTTCCTGGTAGGGAGAATCCTCTAGTTCCCTTACCCCAGTGAAATCACAAATACAAAGAAGGGGTGGTGGAATTGTGCAATATACTGTGCTGGGGGCTTACAAGCAAAAAAATGGGCAGAATATGTGGCAGAGAGGGAAAAGGGTTGGTCTGAAGTCAGTGGAAGTTTGAACCCCAGCTCTACTGCTGTGTGACCTTGAGCAAATCACTTGACTTCTCTGAGCATCCGTTTTCTCATCTGCAAAAGGAGGGGCTTGGAGTAGCTGATCTCTGAGTTTCCTTCCAATTGCTGATGTATTATCTCTAATCCTGGAATTTACATGCTCCTTGAAGATACAACCTGTAAAGCAGGTGAGTGATTTGAGGAGGAAGAAATCACTCTCTAGAAGGACCAGCAAAAACTTCCCATAGAAGGCAGCTCCTGAGCTGGTCTTTTTAGGAAACTAAGAGACTTAGGTGAGGAAGGAACATAACCCCCATGCAAAGGCATAAAGAAGCAGGAGATGGAATACCAAGTAAAAAACAGGCAACAGGGTCCTTAATTTCGAAAGGCCGAAGTCATCCACTGTAACCCAGGCCAGCACTAGTTGTCCTGACTTTTGTCTTGCCACTGGACCTCATTGACTCTAGAGGAGACAGTGAGGCTGATGACTTTGCACAGCTGTGCCTCACTTAAATCCAATTCCCAAACAAGCCAAGACATCAACCTCGTGATGTTATTGGTTCTCTTAGAGAATGAAAAAGCAACTACAACAAGAAGACCAATCTGGCTGTAAAATTCAGTGCCTGAAGGGGAATACTGTGAATTAAGTGGAGAAAGCAGGTTGGAGTCAAGTTCTCGCAGGTTTTAATGCTGAGCTGAGGAGTATATGCTTCATCCTAAACTGAGCCACTGAAGATTTGAAAACGGAAGTGTCATGGTCATACTTTTGGAAGGTGATTTTGGTAGCTGTGTGGAAGATGGATTGGTCTAGATTTGCTTCCTTGGTCAACTTTGGGTATTTTTTCTAGCACACAGATGTCTTCTGACTTAACCACATCCCTCTTAATATGGTGTCTGATAGCTGGTGATTGGCCCTAACTAGTTTGGAAAAAAAAAGACAAAAAATCCAGAGGAGGCAACACCACCAGTCTATCTCCTCTTGCCTGATGGATGGGTCTTGGCCTATGCTTTTTGCCTCATGACACTATTACTACTCATTTCCTAATTCACAGTGCATCTGACCCAGCCAAACTCAAAAGGTGATCTTATAGAGTGTCAAGAAAACCATGGAACCAGGTTGTGATAATGTCCAGCCCCCATTCCCTTGGACTTATAGACCCTATTGAGGCTATAAGAGTCTAAATAATTTAAATCTGTAGATAATTCACAACAACCTCTTCTTAT